GACGCCCTGAGGAAGCCGACCGAGGACGAAGCTGGCGAGCATCATCAAACGTCGCCCAGTCCATGCAACGCCATCATTGGGATGGATAAAAGGAGGATACTTGCGTCTCTCTCCAGGGATGGAATGGTGGTTGGTGTATGGAGGAGGAATGGTGGTTGGTGAGGTGGACTAGGAGGAGGAGGCAATGTCGTGATGAACCATTCTGGTCCCAAGTGAAAATTTTTCTCGAACCTGACGGTGACGGGACGCGTGCTGTTGCCTGAGATCAAAATCGTGGGCAGACTAAGAGTCCCGTCTAGTGGAGACGTGTCCGTTCTATCGTGAGGTTCGCCGTGTCACCTGAGCATTAGGGCAAGACGGTGGAGATGTGGCTGTTGGTCCTTCCTCTTCTGTCGTCCCACCGACAACCCGAGGTACCCTTCAAGGTACGTCCGTACCTAAAAGACGTGGCTGAATACCCGGAATCTACTTGAGGGTCGGGTGTCGGTGGAACCGTTAAGCTGTTGGCCTTCCACTTTTGCCGTCCCAGAGCAGACACCCAGGGGTATCCATAGAGGTACCTCTCTGCCAAAAAGACGTGAGTAGCTACCTTGGGTCGACCTACTGTCACGCTAGCCGTCTCTTTTGCTATCGCGAGGCTGAGCGGACGCCTAGATAAGTGTCTCCCTGCCTACAAGCCCTTGAAACTACTGTAGAGTTGGGCGTGCCAATGGAGACCACGTCACCCGTCGGTCCTTCTCTTTTGCCATCGTGAAGTTTAACTTAAATCATGGAGCGGACGCCCGGATGCCTACAAAAGGTGGCTGGCTACGTTGAATCATCACAGAAACCCGCCCGGCTGGAATGGAGTAGTGGTTAACTCGCTGCCCTCCCACTTTAATCGTAGAGAGGCAGAAACTCGGGTTCGAACCCCGATTCCAGCAATTTTTTTTGGGCTTTTTGGCTTTTTGCGTTTATACCGCCCAAATGCCAAAGGACATGGGCGTACAAAAGGGCTCACCAGCAAATGAATTGGCCCTTTTGGGATCGTTTACTTCAGTGTCAACCAACTGCTGTCAGGGTATGGCGGTGACGATCACGCCCAGCCGTCGGTCCTTTCTCTTTTTCCATCGTGAGGCTCTCGGCGAATTCCGGAGCAGGTGCCTGGACAAGCACCTCGCTGCCTACGAGCCGTAGCTGGCCACCTTGAGATTAGATTCGGGCGCCGGCCGAGACGACGCCCAGCTGTCGGTCTTTTCTCTTCCGCCATCCTGAAGCTCAGGTCAAATCTTTGAGCGGGCGCCTGGACAAATGCCTCCCTGCCTACGAGACGTGGCTGGCTACCTTGAACCTACTGTAAAGTAGGGCGTGCCAGTGGAGGCCACGCCCAGCTATTGGTCCTTTTTTTGCTATCGTGAAGCTCAAGTCAAATCTCGGAGTAGACCACCCACAAACCGTGGCTGGCTACCGTGAAACTAGATTCGGGTGCCGGTGATGACCACGCCGGCTGTCGGTCTTCCTCTTTTGCTATCGCCAGGCCCAAGCCAAACCCCTGAGCCTCATGATGGCAAAAGAACAAGGGCCAACGCCTGGGTCGCTGCCGTTACAGTGGATTGGGCTCTTGTGGGTGTGGGTGCCTCGATACTCGTCTAGGTGGACGGGTCTGCCTCGAGTCTGCTTCGGGATTTGTCCCGAGCCACACGACGTCTCGGCGAAAAAGGAAGGAGCCAACAGCTGGGCTGGATCCACCGACACCAGACCGGGTCTTTTGGGTGAGGTACCGTCTCCGCTAGTCTGGAGGTGCCAGCCACGGGTCTGCTGCGACGGGAGATTTGATTCGAGCTTCATGATAATATGGGAATCACCTTCTGCCAATATCCCTTCCTCCTGAGCATGTGGGCCAAGACGAAGATCCTCAAGCACGACACCTCGCTGCAGATGCCCAACAGGACCGGGAAGCCTTTTTCGACTCGCTTAGGAACAAATGGAATCTTCCAGCAGCACCTCCACCTCAGCGTGCGCCGCGCCAAAATGAGCAGGCCGTATTGCGGAACTGGACGAGTACCTCCCCGCCTATAAGGCGTGGCTGGCTACTTGGTCTGGTGTCGGTGGACCCAGCCCAGCTGTTAGTTCCTTCCATTTTCGTCGAGGCGAGAGGCTCAGGACAAATCCCGAAGCAGACGCGTCCACGTACCCAGCTGGCTGCCTCGATCCACTGTAAAGACGGCGACCCAGGCGTCCGTTTTCGGTTGACCAACCGTCAAGACTCGCCGTTGTGAGATCGCATTTGGTCACCTGAGCACTGGGGCAAAGTCAAGTCACCTGGGAGCGGACGTGGCTGGTGGGATGTATTTCATTTTTCGGCGCGTTTATAGACGCACCTTCACTGTCTTTTCAAGTATATGTGCTGAAAAAAACGCGTCCACGGACGGTGAAAAGACGTCTGCGGACGGCAAAGGTAGGTCTATAACGCTTTTTAGCGTCCGCCAAAAATCGTGATCTCTCGCCAGATGTAGTGCCTCGGTTCCTTTTTTTTTGTTTCGCCGCCGTGAGGTTCATCGTGCGAGTATAGGGGCAAGCCCAGCGCTCGGAGCATGGCTTAGGTGTTTTCCCTCTTTTTTTTATTTTTTATTTTTTTTTATAGTCTGTGTAGGTTCCCCTGAGCGTCCTGGGAAGCAGGCAGACAACCACCAAAAGCTGTGGATGCCAAGGCAAGGTGAAACATCACAGCTGGAATGGTGTGCGCATGCAGACGACGACGGCGACGCTTATCCATGACCACCATGTTGTCCCGCAAGAACTGTTTTAGGCCGTCGTCTGGATCTCTGTTGAGCTCCCTCTTGAGCTTCTCGACGATCGATTCGCACCAAGATGTCCCTCCGGCATGGCCAGACGGAAGATCGTAGACGCATCCGAAGACGGTCACGCCGAGGGACCAGATGTCGACTACCGGGGTGTAGCTGCTCGGCCGGGGATCCGACCAAAGCTCAGGTGCTGCATAGTGTGGTGAACCGCAGAACGTTGTTGGATCGTGGCTTTCTTTCGCGAGACCAAAGTCCCCCAGCTTGACGCAAATGTCATTGGCGCGTCGGTACTGGACGAGAGTGTTTTCCGGCTTGACGTCTCGATGTAGGATGGGTGGGCAGTGTCCGTAGAGATAGGCGAGCGCCGACAGACATTGCTTGAGAATCTGAACGCCCTCCACCGCCGATATGTCCTCGTGATCGCTAAGGGCTCCACCGGGCACGTACTCGAATATTAATCGAGGCGATTGCGTGAACAAGGCTCCGAGGAGCCTGACGATATGATATGTTAGCATAGGCAGCCATGGAGTGAGTGGAGACACTGTCTGCTTACATGGGAAAGTCGTCCCATAATTTCAGCCTCCACCTTCCACGCAGCCTCATTGAACCTTCTCTCCCGGATGGCCTTTTTCGAAGGTTCCTTGAAGGCGTACTCATCTCCGTCGCTGACGTTCCAGACGTAAGTTACAACCCCGAAACCCCCTTCGCCCAGCTTCTCCTCCACTTCGATATCGCCTGAGCCGGGCGTGCGTGCCCCGCTGGGAGCCTCGGTTCTCGGAAGGCTTGAGACGTCCATTTGACCGAAGAGATCGTCCACGCTCGACCTCCCCTGGTGGAAACGGGCGACATTACCGATGTACGGCTCTGACTTTATGTCATGTTTAGGGACGTCGATCCGGAACTGGAGGTGGTCGTGGAGTTCGATGACGATCTCCTTTTTTGCCGGGACGTCGTGCCCGCCGATGATCCAGCGGAAGCCCCTGCGTATGCCCCCATCCTCGCGACCAGCTTTCCCGCTGTACGAAACGGAGGTGCCGCATGTCGTTTCTAGGTCGCGTACGACGAGGCGGTAGTGGTTTGTGTCCCTGAAGTCGTTCTCGAATGTGATGGCGCAGTGCCGCTCACTGATGCCCGTTTCGTCGACGAGGACGATGTCGCTCGTGGCCGGGTCTTTTCCAAGCACGAAACCGAGGCCGGTGCGCGTGCCCTGGCCGAACCTCAATTCTAGATACTTTGGTGGGTCGTTGTGACCTGCAGGCGAAGCTGGCGGCAAAGGTGACGGCCCAGCGAGCATAGGGTTCAGTTTATCGACCACCTTGTCAGCCCACTTCCAACCCTTGCTACTCTTGCCAAAGGCATATAGACGAGCGATCAGGTCTGGGTCGGCCATTTCGACGTGGATCTCCGTTGATGAGCGGAAGGGAACCTAGACACGCGGAGCCCGTTCAGCTTAAGGCTGCCTGGACGCAGCCTGGACAACCCCGCACCGGCCATAGATGCCGGGCACCATCAACGAGCAGACTGCATCACGCAGGCCAGAAAAAAAGCAATACACCAAAAGGCCACTCTTAGGTACATAAAACAACCTCCCTTGGAGAAAATTTCCTTTCCTGTTTCCTTTCCTCCTTTCCTATCTCCTTTCTTATTTTTATTTATTTGCTTATTTATTTAATTTTTTTTTTTTTCTTTTTCCAATTAGCGAAGGAGATGTATTTGGCCAGGGTTCCTTTTTTTGGTGTATTGACTATTTTCTGGGCTACATGCACATCCGTGAGCCTGCTTGATTAGTCGTTCACGGATGGCACTGTGGGGACGGTGGGGGCCTGGGCCCATGTTTTCCCACGCGGATTTTCGGATGACTCGACCGTGTTGTCATGTACATACCAACTGCAGAAAAGGTCCAAACCCTTTTCAGCTTAGCGTGGTCGCCACTATACCCCCAAAAACTGTTAGCCACAACCCTGATGGGGCGCTTAAGCGGGTGTGCTAGGCCAAAAAGGGGTTGTTGCATTTCGTTCCAAGCCACTTATAGGGATTTCTACAGGGGTGTTATAGCCCCCATTTCAGTTCTCCATTCCCCTCGGCACCCCAAGTCTGCAAAATAATCTCTCGACTTATGTGCCCGGTTGACGGGATCCCCAATTCAAACACCTCTCAATGCACGCCCCTCCGCCGCCCTCGGCGACGACATGGCCTCGCTTGAACCCACTCCTCCAAAAGTGTCCGCTCACGATCTCCTTGCCTTTAACGATGCGGAGCTTGTCCAATACATGATGCAAAACCGCGGTCCCGATGACCGTTTCGTACTCCGCCCAGCCGGTTGGACAAGGCTGCCAAAGGACCAGCGAGAGAGGCTCGCTGAACGACTGAAGTAAGCATCGATGCCCGGTGGCGGTGGCGTCTTTCCCACCGCTACTGACAGCCAAGCAGGTTCGGAGCGCAGAAAGCTGCCGATGCCGCCCGGTCCTGCCCCGTCGAACTTGGTCAAGTCACAGCACGATTGCTGGAAGCAACAAGAACAACAGACAACACATCGCATCAGCGCGAGTCTACACCGGAACGCCACGTCAGACGTCGGACTGAAACGCCGCCCGGCAAGGACGAGTACCGAGAGGTTGAGATAGGTGACTACTATGCACTCGTCAACGATGGCGGACGACCCTGCTACGCGATCGCGCTTCTCGAGGAGGTCTCGGAGAACCCCAAGGACTACCGCGAGTTGCTGCGGCCATTTCAGTACTATCCGGATACTGATCGCCCTGAATGGCGGGTATTCGGCCTACAATTGAGTCGGTGGCAAGACTTCCGCGTATGGCAGCTGACAAACAGGAACATGTACGAGCCCGACAGCGATTATCTGGCCTATGTCGAGGAGCAAAAACGCTTTTCGGCGGCTACACGGCTGGAGTTGAAAGACGTGGCTGCGCTCGAAGCCGACCCCTCACACCTCAGACCAGACTGGAGACGGAGAGAAGATAGACGCAGACGGGATTACCTGAATCTTTGGCGGCTCGAGGAGCCGAAGCCCGCGGGCGCAGAGGAGCGGGACACCGAGGATCCAGTGGCGCCCGACGCCGACGGCCATTTTCGCGTCTACGTCGAGAGGGTGAAGCGCCGCCTCGCGCTGCACGGATTCACGC